TATCTATCATATCTAACTTATCTAGGATTCTATTTATCTCCTTGCTTCTTTCTCATTTATTTTTTGGTTAGATTTGTCTAGTCCCTGCCCTCATTATAGTTTTGCTATATATTTCCATCTGTAATTCATTTAGCTTTTCCTTTAAAAATTTGGATGCTATAGCATTTGATGCATCTATGTTTAGTACTGACATTTCTTCACTATCTAAGGTACCTTAATGTAGTTTCATAATGTAGTTTCCCTGTTTATCTCTTTTAATCAAATCTATTGCTCTCTTTTTTTTAAATTAACTGAAGCATAATAAATTCTACTCTAGCCCTTTATTTTTATTCTGTGTCTCTAATTTTTTAAACATGTTTCTTGTAAACAACATATTGTCAGGCTCTGGGTTTTGATCCATTCTGTTATTTGTTTCCATTTTATGGGTGAGTTCACCCCATTCACATTCGAAGTTACAATTACTAGTTATGTATTTCCTTCCATTCTATTTTTTCCTCACTGTTTATCCTTCTCTCTCTCCCTCCCTCTCTCTCTCTCTCTCTCCTCTCTCTCTCTCCTCTCTCTCTCTCTCTCTCTCACCCTATCCCTCCTCAGAAATCTAATTTACTTCCAACCACTGCCTTCCTAATTCACACACCCTTCTAAAAGTCCCTCCCTCATCCTATTCCTTTCCCTCCTATTTCTTAATCTTCGTACCCTTCTAAGATTTCCTCCCTTATCTTGTCTTCTTACTTTCCTATTTCTTTGTGAATTAAGAAAACTTTAAACCCTACTAAATGTACGTATTATTCCTTCTTTAACCAAGTTCTAATGAGAATAAGGTTCTTACACTACCCGCCCTCCACCATTTCCTAACAGTTCCTTCCTAACAGTTCTTTCACTCATGCCTCTTTTGTATGAGATGGTTTTCCCCCTTTTACTTCTCCCTATCTAATTTCATTTTTTAGAATCATCTCATCGTATTCAACTCAACCTCAAGCCTTCTATCTGTGTATATTCTTTCTAACTACCCTAGTAATGATAACACTCTTAATAGTTACAAATATCATTTTCCCATATAAGAAGTAAACTGTTTAATTTTATTAAAGCCCTTATAATTAGTCTTTCATGTTTACTTTTTTATGTTTCTCCTGTTCTTGTAAGTCAAATTTTCCATTCAGTTCTGTTCTTTTCTTCAAGAATACCTGAAAGTCCTTTAGTTCATTAAATATCTATTTTTTTCCCCTGCAGTACTACACTCAGCTTTGCTGGGTAAGTTGCTCTTGGTTGCAAACCCAACTTCTTTGCTCTTCAAAATATTTTATTCCAGACCCTTCAGTCTTTTTTTTTTTAATGAGGTAATCAGGGTTAAGTGACTTACCCAGGATCACACAGTTAGTAAGTGTATCTGAGGCTGGATTTGAACTCAGGTCCTCATGACTGTATAGGCAGTCCCTTAGCCACTGCACCACCTAGCTGCCCCTTTCAGTCTTTTACTGTAGAAGCTGCTAAATCTTGTGTTATCTTGCCTGTAGTTCCACAATATTTGAAATGTTCCTTCCTAATTGCTTATAATATTCCCTCCTTGACCTGAAAGTTTTGAAACTTAGATATAATGTTCCTGTGAGTTTTCATTTTGGGATCTCTTTCAGGTGGTGATCAGTGGATTGTTTTAATTTCTGTTTTACCCTCTAATTCTGGAACTTCAGGGCAATTTCTTTTTTTTTTTAGTAATTTCTTGAAGTATAGTGTCTACACTCTTTTTCTGAGCATAACTTTCCCGTAGTCCAACAATTCTTGTATTATTTCTCCTCAATGTGTTTTCCAGGTCAGTTGTTTTTCTAATGAGATGTGTCACATTATCTTCTATTTTTTTCTTTCTTTTGATTTTGTTGTATTATTTCGTGATATCTTAATGAAGTCGTTAGCTTCCCCTTGCCCAATTCTAAGTTTTAATGAGTTATTTTCTTTGCTAAGTTTTTGGGTCTTTTTCCCCCCAATTGGTTGACTTTCTTTTCATAATATTTTTTGCTTTTCTTGCATTACTCATTTCTTTCCCCAATTTTTCCTCAATATCTCTTATTTTATTTTTTAAAGCCTTTCTTAAGCTCTTCCAAGAACTCTTTTTGGGCTTGTAACCATTTTACATTTTTCTTTGAAGCTTTACAGGAAGCTGTTTTGTTTTCTTCTGAGTTTGAAACCTGAACTTCTCTATCACCATAGTAACTATATATGGCCAGGCTTTTTCTCTGTTTTTCACTCAATTTTTTTTAACAGACTATTTCTTGTCTGTTAACTTTATGTTAGAGTTGGGCTCTACTCCTGGGGTTTGGGGGATAATGTCTCAGGATTTAGGTTTTTTGTGCTAATCCTCTCTGTGGGCTGCTGACCTCTTGGTTCTTCCAGTGTTCTATAATTAAAGGCCAGGTGTGGTTACTGCTCCTCTGGATCATGCCTTGGTCTATAAGTGACCTCAGGTACTCCTCTCTGCCCCTGAGCCATGACCAGAGCCCCCAGCATCACTGCCACCACAAATGCTCCCACTCCCTGGTGCCCCTTAGGCAACTACAAGCATCAGCTAGCCCCTCTGCCCAGAACTGAAACCAGGGAGTCCATTTACCTGCCAGTGACCACAGCCAGCAAGGTCCAGCCCCTATGCACTACAATCATCAGCTTATGCTTGCCCCTCCTCACCCACAGTCACAGCCTAGGACTCCATGTGGTCAGTGTTTCTGGGCCCCATATCTAGTACCAGCAGAGGACCCCTACAACTTCCCCTGGTCAGTTGTCCAACTTCCATACCATCAATGGAGTGAAAGCTCCAGCAGATGAGGCTGCTGCCAATACAGCTGCCCCAGGGCTTGCTGTTTGTTGAATCAGCTGTATCTGTACTTCAATAAGGCTGGACCACCACCCTGGGAGGTCAGATCTTTCCTAAACTCCTCCCAGTTGTCTTAGGCTTTACCCCAACTTAATTTTTTCTACCACTTTAAAATTTACTTTGAGGCATTATTTTAAGTTATTTGTTTTGTTTTGCTTTTTTGGTGAGACATTTGGGGTTAAGTGAATTGCCCAGGATCACACAGCTAGTAAGTGTCATGTGCCTGAGACTGGATTTGAACTCACGTCCTCCTGACTCCAAGGCCAGAGCTCTATCCACTATGCCACCTAGCTGCCCCCCCCTTTTTAAAGTTATTTGTATGAGAATTTGGGAGAACCATGTAGTTTCCTGACTTATCCCACCATCTTCCCACAATTCCCTCCCTGATTCCTTTTGTATTTTCACAATGCCCACTTGTGAATATGATCTGTTATTACTGAAATTACAATGACTTCTTTTAAAATCCTAGTATATTATAATGTATTTTTGGGTGATTAAATTTTAATGGTGCTGCCACTTTGTCCTGCCAAAGAATTGGTGCTGCAAAGAGCGACAAAGAGCCCACACAGCCTATTATGAAGCCAGCGGAAAAGCTTTGAGATGGTGCGTTCCCAAACCATTACACCTCTCCAGTGGCCTGGTGAGCCAGTCTCTGTGGTTGAAGATAGGCAGCTGTGTTTTGGCATAAGAGTACTCCCTAGGTGTTAGATCAGATATATGAATGAATAATATTCCTAGCAAGCACTCATAAGCCCAGTTCCTTGTATTTTTTAAGTTTTACAGAACTGAAATTAGAAACCGAAGGAGGCTCAATAATTTGATGGAGATCTGATAATTTACTTTTTCTTTTTTTGGTACATGTGATTCTGTAGTATAAGATTCCTCCAAAGCTTTTACTTGCTGACACTTCACCTCCCTTCAAATTGCCTTTATACATAGATGGATAGATAGATAGGTAGATGTAGATGTATTTGTAATGTTCTCATTAAGGCAATGGGAGGGATGTAGCAGGGGGCGTGCTGGAGGCAGGTCTTATTTCCTCATGAGAGCTGAATATTAAATTTTCAGTGTGAGCATTTACACCTGAGAAATAAGCAAATGCTACAAGTCGGGGCTTGAGGTATTGTTTTGTTGTTTGTCTAGTCTTTAAAAAAGTCATTGGTAAAATGTTTATAATGCATATTAAACATAAATGTAAAAGTGTCAAGTAACATTTCCCCACCAGAGAGTCAATTGTTAAACATTCATGTTTCCCATTCCCTAGAAAATGTAGCAGTTTAGCAATAGCAGTCATAAAACCTGCAGCCAATCTCAATCCCCACACTGCAGGATAAAGCAACATTCACTGTTTGCTCCCTTGCAGTCCCTTCCCTACAGAAGAAATAAAAGATTTGACCTGCTAGGTGGCACAACGGATAGCGTGCTGAACCTGGGCTTAGGAACATCTGAGTTTGAATCGTGCCTCAGAGACTTGCTAACTTGTATTCTACTGGAAAAGTACCACTGGGAAGTTACTAACATGGGAAGGCTTCGTGGAGGATGTGTCTTTTGAGTTGGGCTTTAAAGAATCACAGGCAAGTCATTTAACCCCTCCTTAGCCTTGATTTTCTTATCTGTAAAATGGATATAATAATGGAATGTACTTCACAGGGTTGTTGTGAGGATCAAATGAAATAAAGCACCATAAAGCCATTATCATCATTACTGTCACACATCTCCCATCTCCCACTGTGGAATTTGTATTCTCCTGGAAAAGTACTACCAGAAAGTTACTAACTGGGGAGAACAAGGGGAGGTTTCATGGATGAAGTAGCTTTTGAGTTGGGTTTTAAAGGTTTCAATAAGTACTTAATTGACAGGGCTATTGAGAGGCTCAAATGAAACAATAAATGTACAACACTTCCCAAATTTAAAAGACTAATGCCTATTGTTACCATTTTGCTGTTTTTATTATTATTATTATTATTATTATTATTATTATTATTATTAGGCAAAGAAAACTAGGGAGGGGAGACTTTCCAGGCATCTGTGGGGTAAGGTCACATAATTCATTTACCTTGATAGCAAATTAATTTACATAGGAAACCAGTTTACTGCCCTACTCACAAGATGGTGGTCTTTTCTTGCTTTGTCATCCTAGGGTTTCAGTTACAGAGCACTTTCTAGCTGTACTGCATTCAGAGCCTTCAACTGGCATACATTTAATCACCATAGTTCAACGAACATCCAAGAGGAGGCCATTTTGTATGTCACTCGGTGGCAGGTATGTCAAGCTGAAAACAGCTTTTCAGAACATCACGCACACACACATACACATGTGCATGCCCTCACATGCATGAATGCACCTAATGAAGTTATTTCATTGAGATTTAAATCAGTAGGTATTTTATGGAAAGCCTGCTTTGTGCATCAATAGGGTAGTGTTGGTGCTGTGGAGGATGCAGAAGAAATAGATGACACCAATTACTGCCTTCAAGCAGTTTATGATCTAGAAACAATAGGAATAAGTGCTCTGGAAAATATTGTAAAAATAAATGACAATTGTCATAACATATATAGCTTCCCATTAAAGTTGTGAATTAATTTTGTTACATTATCACATTCTTAGATTAATTTGGTGCTAAATTGATTTTTTTCTGGATCATTTAACACTTTTCTAAAGCAAAATGAATTCATATATGTGCATTTGTGTGTGTGTGTTGCTGCAGTAGAAAATATTTTTCATAGTCTGTGGAATCCCATTGTGCTATTAGAATGAACACTAGCCTGAGAATCAAGAAACTTGGGTTCTAGTTCCAGCCTGGGCAGTGAATGGCCAGGGGCAAGTCTAATCCCTCGGTCCTCTTAGCTACAAAATGAGATTGGACTAGATGAGGCTGCACAATCTGCAGCCTGCAGGCCGCTCAGAGCAAGTCAAAGGATTTCCTCCATACACAAAGGATGTTTTCCTCAACATTTTTTCACAGCCTGAAATCCTTTGGCTTGCTGCAAGTGGCCCAAGGGCTGTAAGTCACCTGCTGCTGCAGGTCGTGCAGACCTGGACTAGACAGTCCTTGGGGTTTTTTCTAGCACTAAAATTTTATTTTCACTGCTTAGTTTATCATTTGCTTTAAGTCTGCTGAATGTGGAAGATGAATTTGGCCCTGACATATATTTCTTTGCTTACTACATAGTAAAACTACTTTCTGATATCTTAAGAAAAAAAATTCATTGGGGGCAGCTAGGTGGCACAGTGGATAGAGCACTGGCCTGAAGTCAGGAGGACTTGCGTTCAAATCTGGCCTCAGATCAAACACTTGACACTTACTAGCTGTGTGACCCTGGGCAAGTCACTTAACCCCAGTTGCCTAAAAGCAAAAAAAAAAATCATTGTTACTATTTATCTTTTTTTGTAAATTTTATCAGTTATTTTAAACTTAAATACAAAATGAGAAAAGAAAAAAAAAGCATTGCTATGTACACAGTAGGGCATGAGATAGGATTCAATATAAAACAATAAATTTCCATGTCAAGAAAACCTACATAATAAATACTAGACATTGTTTTCAAAGCTGCCCAGCTTTTCTTTGCTTCCTTGCAGGTTTTCTATTGTTACTGTTTGTAAAACACCCAATCACTACAAAAAAGAAATGAAAGCACAGTACTTCACTACTCTTAGCTAATGAGAAACTTGTTGATACAGCATTAGCTTAAGATACTAAGGAGTTGAAAGCTCTTATAAATTTATTATTCAGTGCAATATCAGTGTTAAAAGGCACTTGAGGGCAGCTAGGTGGCGCAGTGGATGCAGCTTTGGCCTTGGAGTCAGGAGGACCTGAGTTCAAATCCGGCCTCAGACAATTGACACTAGCTGTGTGACCTTGGGCAAGTCACTTAACCCGATTGCCTAAACAAAAACAAAAGGCACATGAGAGGACTTCTAGTCCAGCCTGACAGTGAATCCCCCTGAAAACCTCCCTAACATGTAGCTGTCCAGACTCCCCTTGAAGAGACCTCCAATGAAAGAGAACATTACCACTCAAGGCAGCCCATTCCAATTTGGCACGGCTCTAGTTGTTAGAAAGTCATCTGTTTTTCTTCATCTTCCAGCAATTGCTTCTTTCCTCTTGAGCCAAGTGAAAAAGCATAAAAATTCTTCTTATAAAAATCCTTCAAATACTTGAAGACAACCCTCACACCCCACTAAGTGTTGTCACTTCCCAACTGAATATCCCCGATTCCTTTAATGAATCCTCCTTTGATATTGTTTTGAATTTTTTCACCATCTTAGTTGCTTTCCTTTGTACATGAGCCAACTTGGCAGTGTCTTTTCTGAAATCTGGACCTTACCCCAAATATAATCTGACCAAGGCATGCAAATAAATAAGCAAAAAGCATTTACAGAGCACCTGCTATGTGCCAGGCATGTGGCAAGCAATAGGGATACAAAGATAAAAATAAAATGAAAATAAAAATGAGTGCCCTCAAGGGTCTTACATTCTACTGGAAGGAAATAACATGTATACAGAGAATTCACACGAAATATAAATCAAAGAACAACTGGGTGGGGGTTATCTAGCTTCCTTAAAGACTTAGGTCAAGAATCCTTCCAATAGGAGTTTTTCCCAGACATCCCTACTCTTGGTGCTTTCCCTTCTAAAGCTACCTTCTATCTACTGTATGTACCTAAAATGTGTGTGTGTGTGTGTGTGTGTGTGTGTGTGTGTGTATACTGCAAATACATATATACATGTATATGTTGTCTCCCTGATTAGAATATAAGCTCCTTGAGAGCAAGGACTATTGGTACATGGCAAGAGCTTAATAAACAATTGATTGCTTTGTGAAGAGGTAGCATATAACATATGAGACAAATCTGACAGGTTTCTAATACACTTCTAAAATTTCAACAGTAGTTATATTTGCATCAAGTTTTAATTAATTGGAGCCAACAGGAACAGAGAATCCAACTTTATTCTGCTTGAATGTGTAGGTATTTCCTACAAGCCAGCAACAGTGAATTATTTGACAAGTGTTCATTTGTTGAGAAGTCAGCATTCAGTTCTTTGAAAACTCCATAGGATCATTCGATTCTTCATGGTCTGCTGATTATTTTTTCACTGGAAATATTAGCCTTTCAAACTCCAAAACAACCCTTCAGAAATTAGCCATGCTTCAGAACTTCATCTTCTTCTTGAGCATGAGCACAGAGTTAGAAACCTCTTTGACTGTTTCACTGAAAAACAATCAGAGAAAACTTGAGTCAGGTGCTATCACTTAGCACTCTGGACCATTCTTGAGGACCAGCTCAGGGGCTTCCAGGATGCCTCCAGCCATAAATGAGGAAGTTTTTAAAATACATTTTATTGATACTTTTGGGTTTTACATATCAATCACTTCCCAATAAACAACCCCTATAATATCCCCATTTAAAAAGTCAAGCAAAACTAACTGTGATTGTTACTATTTGTAACTAAAATTAATTGTGATTGTTATTGACAGTTCATTCAACTTTCTGTTCTTAATTTAACTATTTGTTAACACGAGTTAATAGAGTGCCTGGGGGGCAGCTAGGTGGCACAGTGGATGGAGCACTGGCCCTGAAGTCAGGAGGACCTGAGTTCAAATGTGACCTCAGACCAAAGACTTGACACTTACTAGCTGTGTGACCCTGGGCAAGTCACTTAGCCCCAATTGCCTAAAAAAGAAAAAAAAACAGAGTGCCTGGCACAAAATGGACAATAAATGCTAGCTGAATGAATGTTTAATTGAACAAAGAACAAAATGTATTTTAATCTCATTTTTCTGGAATCAGCATTGGCCATTATATTTCACCTCAGTTTGTGTGAAACATACATTTTATTTCATTTTAGTGATGCCTTTTTTTGGTAACACATTAATTTGTAAATATGTTGCTCTCCTCCTGCCCCTCGCCCAACTCCTAGTGGCTTTTCTTGTAAGGAAGATTACAAAAAAAGGGGAAAAAAGAGAAAAGAATTCAGCAAAACTGACCAACACATTGACTGCTTCTAACAGGATATACAACATTTCATAACCATAGTTTTCTCTCTCCATCCCCACCTGCCAAGACCTCTTGAATGAAAGAAGAGGCATTCATTTTCCCCTCTGTGAAGCCAAGCTTGGTTTTTATAAATTGCATAGTATTTGGCTTCATTTAGTGTTTTTCCTATTTATAATATTGTAGTCATCATGTACGTTATTTTCCTGGTTCTGCTTGCTTCATTCTGCAGTTTATAAAAGGTTTACCAAGTTTTCTTCAATTCTTCATATTCATTATTTCTCTTTTTTTCTTTTCTTTTAGCTAGACAACAGGGTTAAGTGACTTACCCAGGGTCACACAGCTAGTTAAGTGTCAAGTGTCTGAAGCATGATTTGAACTCGGGTGCTCCTGATTCCAGGGCTGGTGCTCTATCCACTACACCACCTAGCTGACCCCCATCATTTCTCATAGTGCAGTAATACTCAAAGTAACATAACATTTATCAAAATAAAAACAAAACTAGTTACATTTGTTCTGTGTCCCCTTTCAGAAACCATCTGTGTACTTAAAGCCATTGTTTTGTTTCTTTATAAGAAATATATATAGTTAAAGTCAATGTATATTCTGTGCTTATTCTGTCAATCTTATGTTGCATCACTTCATCTTTCCAGATTTCTTTGTATGATTCAGGTCTGCCTTTCTATGGTAATGACCCCATTATTTAATCAGCCATTCCACAATGTTGGACATTTGTTGTTTCCAGTCTTGCACTATTACAAAGAAAGCAGCTAATATTTTTTTAACAGATACATCCTTTTTTTCTTTATGGTAACATCTTTAGGTCCCAGCCCTAACAATAGAATTACTGGGTCAAAGGGTATGATTATTTTGGTAATTTCTGCTCCAAAAAGTTTACTTTAATCCAAAGTCTCAGTGTTCCTATCTTCGCAACCCTGCCAATGCTGATTTTTTTTTTACTATTTTATGTCAATTTGACTATTATAATATGGTGTTCAGTGATCTTGATTTATGTTTCTCTCTAATGGTTAGAAAATCTGAATAGCTTTTCACATGGCTATAGTACTATACTAATAAGCACATTGTGGCTTAGTGGTTAGAGGACCAACTTTAGAATCAGGAAGACATGAGTTCACATCCTTCTTTTGACACAAACTAACACCATATCTAGGTGGTATGGTAGATAAAGGACTGGACTTGGAGCACCAGTTCAAATCCTGCCTTAGACATTTATTAGTTATATAATCCTGGACAAGTCACTTAGCCTCCCTTTCTTTTAGTTTCCTCTTCTGTAAAATGGTGGGTTTGAACTTGATAGCTATGAACCTATGAACTATGTTATCAGGGAAGATACAACTGCAGTAAGAGTCAGGCAACTTAGTACCACACTTAAGTTACAGGCAAGAATACACAGAGATAGTTTCCAAACCAGGAGTTGTACACTTGGTGAAATCTCAAGTCTGAACTCCCCCTCACCCCTCCAAAAAATTCCTCCTTCAAAAATTGTTCAAATCCTTTGACTTCCTCTCTAAGAGAGTATGTGTTATTCTGAAGGATAGTCATTCCTTATAAATTCTCTATGTCCAACATTTATCTGATATATTTGCAATGTTTTTCTCAATGTTTTCCCCTTTTTTCTTTTTAAGAGATTGCTTTTGATTATAAAAATATCATTTCTTTGTATAACTAAAATGTCAGTATTTTCTCTCACAATTTCTTCCATTTGATAATTTTTTTCTCTCTCCATAATTAAGACAAATCTATCGTTCAATTTTTTTCTGGATTCTAAAATATTTAGCTCATTGATTTACATTCTAGTATTGCACATGATCTAAGGCATGAGTCTAAACCCATTTTCCTCTCTGGGGTTATCTAATTTTCCCAAAATTTTATTGAATTTAATTTTTTAATTCTATCCTTCCATGTGTTTTTTTTTCATGATTGTTACTGATACTAATAACCTCTCCCATACATTAGTTTCTATTTCTGGCTTCTCTGTTGTGATCCATTTGTCTGCTTCTCCCAGTAACAGACAGCTCTTACAATTACTGCTTCAGAACACATTTTGAAATCCCTGGGGAAAGTGGGCTCAGATTTTAGTGCATTTCTAGGTAGGTAGCAAGGTCATGTCAAAATGCAGCCTAGTCACTGGATGCACCAGCTTCTCAGCTGCCACTGAGCTGGGTCCTGCAGGCTTTCCTGTGGAGCTTCAATGCCTTTCTATGGAGCTGGTTCCAAAACACAACACGGACTGTCTTCTGGGACCTCAGGTAGCTCCCTTTCTTGACCTTCTGAAGCTCAGGAAGTCTTAGCTATCTACCATCTTTTTACTGTAGAAGTGGAAAGAATAGGCACCCCAAGCACAAAAGCAACAGCTCTTGGGCTACATGGGCCTGAGGACTCTCTCTCCACTGAGGATTGAGTCTTATCTCCTTACTTGAACAGCACCAGGAAGGGAAAAGCCAGACCAAGATCCAGATCCAGGCTAGTAAGTCTCCTTTTAATGTACCCCAGTTCCAGCTACTCAGCTGATCAACAATGTGTGTGCTCATCACGTGATTAGCACACTGTAACCACTTTTACAGAATGTCTTATTGAGGCTCCAACTCAGGGAGCATTAACCTGCATCAGGCGCCTCTGAAGGCTCCTTAATCTCTTCCATTTGAGAATTGCATCAGCCCCTCCCCCCTCACGCACCCCACTAAAGCAGTGCAATTATTGCATTTTATGTCATAACCATGAAAGTTCAATGTGTTGTCAAAAAAAGAGCATTTTTATTCCTTAAAGACAGTTATCAATATGAAATGCATAATGAAATTTGTTTCTCCTGCGATTCTGTATTGCATTTTGCACAACTCATTTTCATGAAAATTGTTTAATTATCATTCCCTTTATAGCTTCTGTCCGCCGTGCTTTCCCCAGAAATTAAGAACTAGTAACACAGTGAATATAAATTGGGACCTTGAGTTTGGTTAATATTTTTCATGTTCTTCTCTGACTAGGTTGCTGTCTCCCCTGCAGTCTGGCTTGGCGAATTTTAAGATGGATGAAGCCATAGAACTTTCTAATGATGGAAACTCCCTGATAAAAGCGGTCTATCAAAGTCGGCTGCGCCTGACCAGGCTCTTGTTGGAAGGTGGCGCCTACATCAACGAGAGTAATGATCGTGGGGAAACCCCTTTAATGATAGCTTGTAAGACCAAGCATGTCGACCAGCAGAGCGTTAGCAAAGTCAAAATGGTCAAGTATCTGTTGGAAAATAATGCTGATCCTAACATACAAGACAAAACTGGAAAAACAGCCTTGATGCATGCTTGCTTAGAAAAGGCAGGCCCTGAAATAGTCTCTTTGCTGATAAAAAGTGGTGCCGACTTGAGTCTGCAAGACCACTCTAGTTACTCAGCCCTAGTTTACGCTATTAATTCTGAGGACAGAGATACCTTGAAGGTCCTCCTCAATGCTTGCAAGGCAAAAGGAAAAGAAGTCATCATAATCACAACAGCTAAGTCTCCCTCGGGGAGGCACACGACTAAGCAGTACTTGAATATGCCCCCTGGTGATATGGAGGGATTTCATTCTCCAACCTCCTGTACTACCCCTTCAGAAATAGAGATTAAAACCGCTTCTTCCTCCCGCTCAAACTCCTCTGAAATGGATAAAGGGCTTTTTGGCTTTAAAGACCTAGATCTTTCAGGTAGCAGTGACGATGCTTCAGAACCAGGTTCCCCTACTAGAAGACCTGCTGCAGTTCATGGTGGGCCTAAGCTGGGCCAAGCGCAACACCTGCATTTAGATCCTTGGTTAAAAAGCTCTCCTTCACTCTTGCACCAGAGTAAAGTGGCTTCTTTACAAGAAGAACTTCAGGATATTACACCGGAGGAAGAATTCTCTCTGAAAATAAACGGGCTAGCCTTATCTAAGCGGTTTATCACCCGACACCAAAGTATTGATGTGAAGGACGCCGCACATTTGTTAAAGGCCTTTGAACAGGCTGGTTCTAGGAAGCTGTCTTATGATGAGATCTATCGCAGCCCCTCTTTTCGGAAGGAAGCAATCCCTGCAGTGACATCCTTGGGGATCAGGACTCCGAGTCAGCAGCCCAGGCGATGTTTGTTTCTACCCTGAGAAGTATCGTCCAAAAGAGAAGCTCGGGGGCAAATCACTATAGTTCGGATTCTCAGCTCACTACTGGTCTCACTCTGCCAACTTCAGAAGATGGAAAAACATTTGTAGGAAAGAAAAAAATCCTCTCCCCATCTCCACCGCTGCTTGCGGGGTCCAAAGAATTGCCAGAAAATGTGCCTCCCGGCCCTCTGAGCAGGAGAAATCACCCGATGCTGGAAAGACGAGGTTCGGGGGCGTTCCCACTGGATCACACTGCACAAACCCGTCCAGGGTTTCTTCCCCCCTTAAATGTGAATTCTCATCCTCCTATCCCGGATATCGGTGTTAGCAACAAGATTTCCAGTCTCTTTTCTTGTGGACAAAAGATACTCATGCCAACAGTCCCTACCTTTCCCAAAGAGTTCAAAAGCAAGAAAATGTTGTTAAGGAGACAATCGTTACAAACGGAACAAATTAAGCAATTGGTAAATTTTTAAAGGATAATCAATAAACATTACATAATGTGTCTGTGTCTGAAAGACAGAAGGAGGCTTGAACGGTTATCTAATCCATCCTTCCTTCCTCCACGGAAGCAGTCTGTAACTCAATGGGTATCCATTAGGAGTTGAGCATTATTTTAGGCACTGTGGTAATAGATCTTTAGATAAAAGAGATAGTCACTGCCTTTGGGCAGTTGAAAACACCTAAATTCTCGTGTGTGTGTGTGTGTGTGTGTGTGTGTGTGTGTGTGTACACACACCCTGACGAGGAAACTTTCCACCAATACAGATGTACAACTTACCTGTAACTTGCTTAGCATAGTGTGCCTGGCACATAGTAGGCGCTAAATAAATGCTTGTTGAGTGACTGACTTTATAGAGTTAGTTGCCTTGAACACTAAGAAATGAAGTGATTTTCCCAGGGTCACACAGCCAGACTGTTTCAGAAGTAGGATTTAAACCCACCTTTTCCTGACTCTAGAGTGCAGAGCTGAAGGTCCTATTTCTAATAGAGCCTTTCACCTTCCCTATAATAACACATAATAACCATATTTAATAACCTTTATGTGGTCCAAATTTTTCATTTAAATAAAAATGAATAAAGAAAAAAGATTACATGGTTTTGTTGCAGTTCTGTGGGCTTTTCATATTTACCCAAATAGTTTATAAAGTAGTTCCATTCAAGTCAATGAATATTAAATATATAAAAGTAAAACACTTATGACCGTTATAAAATTTTCTGGCTACCCTCCCCCAAAAGAATAAAATAAATCATCTTATGGGTAAGTATGAATTTAATTAAAATAGAAAATAAAACACATAGCAGTGATACTAATAAATTTATTTTAGGAAATACCATTCACATAATCAGCTGCTGCATCACCATGAGAACACTGACCAATGTGGCAAAGTGCTGATAAAAAAAAATTATAGGCTATTTCACTGCATACCTCTGTGTGTATGTGATTATCCTCTGAGTTGCTTTCTTCTCCACACTTATTAACTACTATGACCATCAATGGAAATTACCTATCAATTGCCAATAGTAAGCTATACATATAGTTATAGGTCAAAAATAAACACTCATTTTAAATTATATAAAATAACTTAAGGGGTTATTTCTGAAGAAGCATCCATTTAATTGAGAACAAATTATCTTTAGTTTCTGGTAAGCACTGACTAAATAAATGTTCATTCAGTTTAAATATCAAATATAAGGATACATTTAATTAAGAAATCCAATAGAAACTTAACAAAAGTTAAGTGCTAACTGGTTAGAGATTTAATTCTAAATATTTTATTTCTGATTTGCATTGAAGATAGGCATATTTGTGTAGACTTGTATCTGTATATCCCCAAATGTTATTCAAGCATAGTACTTCCATTCATCTAGTTTTTTAGGACCTAGCAATGATTTCCAAACAATATAAAATGAAAACCATTGTCTTCTTATGATTTGGAAATGTGTTATAAAACACAATTCCTTATCTTGGATGTAGTAGTTACATACAAACTATGAACAAAATTACATAGCACCTGAAAATAGGAATTTAATATTTGTGGTTCACAGTTTTAGATATTCTTCCACATCACTCTAGCATTGACCTAATAAATGTGTAGGAAAACAATTCTGCATTTCCTAATTTCCAGTTTATCCTGCTTTTCTTGGTAATTTGACAGAAGCAAGTTGCACTGTACATGGTAGTGGTTTAGTTGCGTGTAGGTGAACATTTTAAAGAAAATAAGACTTTAATTGCAGGGTTTTGTTACTTGATGTTTCTGTGGATGAATCATATGATTCAAAGAAATCCTTTTTGATCCAGGCCATCGTTCTAAGGAAATATACCTGGTGTTTCTAGATGTTGTTGCTGTTCATTCATTTCAGGTGTGTTCAACTCTCCATAGGCCCATTTTGGGGTTTTCTTTGCAAAGATCCTGGAGTGGTTTGCCATTTCCTTCTCCAGGTGTTTACAGATAGCTAAGCCCATTGTTACACTTTTTAATACTTACAGAATTGTTTGCTTTTTAGTTTTAAAGATGTATATTGGAAAGAACATGCATATGGTTCTATTCCTAAACCAGTATATCCTATAAATAAAGACTTTAAAATGTAGCTTTGAATGTTGTCTGCTTTGACTTCTTATTAAATGAAAAATATTTCTATTGATTTCACAAGAATTACTTCATTTGGTTACCTCTAAGGTCATCTTGAGATGGAGAAAACCACAAATATACAGCTCCTTACTGATCTTACTCCTTCTTGAAAGAAACGAAGTGTTGTGAGCTATGTTTAAAGCATTTTTGAATATGCTAGCAATCATCACTTAAAGTAGTTTATGGGGATCAAGTTGTTTGTTTTTTTCTAAACTTACTTGTAAGGGCTCCAAAGGGATTATTTTTCAATATCTACTGAGGTCAATAATGCAAAAGCTGCAAATAAATTTTCATGAGACATAGCATTGGCAACAAGAAAACAAATATTTATGCACATTTCCTATATTCTTAGCTAATGCTTAACGGATATGATGAGCATTCGTCTCATTCTCCATCCCCTGTACTCACTACAGGAGAAAAGGCTCACTCACTCCGTTTTCTAAGGTTTCCTGTGCCTTTGACAATGTCCTTAAATAAAAAGACTCAAAATAGGAAACCAAAATAAAACACTATGTGATGTACTGTGGCCTGTCACTGTGTCAAGGTGTGATGGCAGCAACTTTCAATACTTTTGCAATGGGGGCAGCTAAATGGCATAGTGGATAGAACACCAGCCCTGGATTCAGGAGGACCTGAGTTCAAATCCAGCCTCAGACACATAACACTTACTAGCTGTGTGACCCTGGGCAAGTCACTTAACCCCATTGCCTAGCCAAAAAAAAACCCAAAAACAAAAAAAAAAACCAATCAATACTTTTGCAATGCAGCTTCCTCCTACCACATTTAATGTATTTTTTACTTCCTTAAAACCACCTTAGAAACCCAACGTTGTATTTTTTTTAATGTCTAATGGACTCTACAAATATCTTCAACCTAAATGTAATGAAAATTGCACGGAATTACTTTGTTTATAGGTTTTTATTTAAAAGTAAAAATAAAAGAAATAAAAGAGTAAAAGGAAGGTGCTTTCTGAGTCGCAAAGCACCAAATCACCGAGGTGAAAAACAAGATCTGTACAAAATGTGTAGACAGAAATGAAAGCCATAATGCAATTCATGAACCTCAGTGGGGACTCTCAACCCCCACTATTCAGAAGCCCTGATGCTTCACGTTAGCATTTTGGCTGATGACTAAGTTCTGATGGTCCTTTCAGTTTTGTACAGTAATCAGTGCTTTCTTTTGTCAATATCTGAATGCATGGGTGGTGGATGAGAGTGGGGTAGAAAAGTAGGCTGTAGGACTAGTATGCTGAGGAGCTGATGGTTAAAAAACCAAAATCTGAGGCAGAAAGCAAGTGAAAGGAGCATTTGCTTGGAAGGAAAAAAAGAGGGAAGAAAGGATAAACCAATACTGCTGTCACCACTCAGGTGCTCATAGATTAGAAGAGAAAATTTTAAAAAAAAAACCCTGGTGGGTTCATAATGTGTGCTGTTTGTAATATATATACACTGTTTCGGCCCCAGGAGAACTCCCCAGTACAAGATTTCCACCCCCTTTCAGAATTTCCCTTCTGTGTAGTGAAGGAAGCACTTCTCTCCCAGATGGTTGGTAGGTTATTCTGCACAGCAAAACAATGCTTAAACACAGGAGCTATATGCACAGATAGAATTTGTGTCTCTACATCAGACATAAGCACCAGCATCTGTTTGGACCTACAGTTTGCCAAGCTGTTTGTTTTTTGTAAGGTAGATATTACAGATATTTAAAATGTGTAGATCACAGGATCAGAGAGCTAGAAATGACCCCTTATTTCACAGATGTGGAAACTGAGGCTCAGAGAAGTGAAGTGGCTTGTTCAAGTTACATAGGCAGTAATCATTAGAGGTAGGATTTGAACCCAGATCCTCTGACTCCAGAGTCAGCACTTGTTCCATGGTGCCACAAGCCTCAGAAAGCTTAAATGGCTGCCCATGATCAAATGGTACATCAGAAGAAGGATCCAAACCTTGGTCTTTCCTGACTCCAAGTCTAGTGAATGCTCCATCATAGTCTGACACCTCTCTCATGGACTTCGAGGCAATAGCATACATCTGTATGGACGTTGTTTTTCCCATAGCCAGGCACCTTTGTGTATTTTCTCTGCCTCAGTCTGCTATACTGATTGCTATGTGTGTTCATTATTCACTGCTCCCATTGCCTCTTAAAAACCCTTGGAAGATATCACAAAACGTCAGCTCATTGGGTTTCCAGAGGTTCTATACACACTCTTCTACATATGGCTTGCACTTCAGAGTTTTGTAATAGGATAGAGTAAATCTGAGAAGAAAAACAATGGGTTTGTGTGTGTGTGTGTGTGTGTATGCTATTTCCCATGATAGTACCAAGAATTTGAACAATATAGGCAGAAAAAAATGTGACTTGCACCTGCATTTCCTTAACCTCTGTCTGCTGGAAAATTGAAATTAGCTAATAGTTCATCACATTTTATTGTCCTCGGGTCCTCCATCTTAGACCTGCCCATCCCACTCATCTAACAGTTCCTGTCACTTAGTGGATTTGGAGGGAAGTTGACCAGGCTGCAGCTACATCTGCCTCTCTCAGCTGTGGCCAGTTCCCCTCCAGCTGGACTTGGCTGCACTGGCCTTCTGAACATCCTGGCAAGGACAGGCTTCCCTGAAGGATGTCCAGCCTTAGTCTCCTAGTATTCACAGCATTTTGGAGAGACTAAGACTCTTTGTCCCCCTCAATAATATTTTATTTTTTCTCCAATTACATGTAAAGATAGTTTTCAACATCCATTTTTGTAAAATTTTGAGATCCAAATTTTTCTTCCTCTCTCCCTTCCCTCCCCCTTCCCCAAGACAGCAAGCAATCTGATATACAATCATGTTAAACATATTTCCACATTAGACTAAGACTCTTTTTAACAGGCCACCTAGCATCAATGTCACTGGCTATCCAGATGGTAATAGTTGATGTCAGTGGGACGTGGTTTAGCGAAAAAGCATTATTGTATAACAGACAGAGCGTTCAACTTGAATCTAAATCTCATCACCATAGACAACCCACAAGGACACACACATACCACTCAGATTTGCCTTCTTTTCCCATGGATTGGCAGCTGGCCATCTTTGCAAATGAGATGCCAGGGAAAATTACCCAGGGGGTCACACAATACCATCCTAATACCATTGTGTCATTCATTTGGCCTATGTTCCCAGAAGTCCATCCTAACCCAGATCTCAGTCCACAAGTACCCCAAAATGGCAAGTTTAAAGAATATATCAGCATTACCTAAAGCATAGCTTCCCTGCTTAAATTCTCTCTCTTGGTGTGGACTGAAGATGTAAGAGCCATTTATTGCATATTAGTATTATTCCATGATGAAAACTGGTTTGGTCCAGACACAGAAGAAACTGTTCAGTCCAACAGAGAAAATTCTTATAATTTGTATTCTGTGGCCCAGATAAAACACTAAGCAATATAAATGAAGTCATTTTAAATTCCTCACTCTCCTGTACCCCAGATATCAATCAATTGCCAAATTATACTGTTTCTACCTAATCTCTGCTTCTCTCTTGGCCTCTGCCATAGTTCAGGATCTTATCACCTTTTAACTGGACTATGATAATACCATCTTAATACCCTCCCGGCCTCAAGAGTCTCTCCTTCCAATCCATTCTGCACCTAGATGCCAAAGTAATTGTCCTAAAGGAAGGAAGGAAGGAAGGAAGGAAGGAAGGAAGGAAGGAAAGAAGGAAGGAAAAAAAAAACATTAAGCACTTACCAATATGCCAAGCCCTGGGCTAAGCACCTTACAAACATTCTCTCATTTAATCCTCACAACAATCCTGAAAGTTAGAGGCTATTATAACCCCCATTTTACAGTTTAGGAAACTGAGGTAGATAGTTAAATGACTAGCCCAGGGTCACATAGCAAGTGTCTGAGACCACATCTGAACTCAGGTCTTCTTGATTTCAGGAGAGCTCCATCCACTTCACCACCTGGCTGCCAAAACATAGGCCTCTGTCACGCCCCTACTCAAAACTCCCAGTGTTTTCCTATTGCCTCCAAGATCATGGTGAGAGGTGAGATCTGAACTTATGTAAGGGACAAGGCATCATGCTTCCTCAATTTAAGATAACCTTTGACATCTTACAACATCAGCAAAAAAGTTACATTGTTTTAACAAGCTTGCAAAACCTTGAAAGGGCAAGCTAATGAGAAGGGCCCTAACCTTTTAATAGACCCCAAAGTTCTAGAGGGCAGAAATGGTTTTAACTAGCCCTAAGTAGGAAAAAGGGCATGGGCTTTTGGATGAGGAGGGATGGGGGGGGGCATGTTGAGGGGTCATGGGATGGGTAGACATGTAAGATTGTTATGCAGAAAGGAACAGACCAATCCGGCCTGGATGGGAGGAGTCGTGGCATTCTAACACTATAAAATTTTTTCTTGCTTCTGTATTGGGCACACTCTATTCCGAGAGGTGTACCTGGTTCTCCCAAGAACCGTAAAATAAATGACTCTTCACTCACTCCAAGCTTGGTTTCGTCTTTAACTAGAAGGCTTGATTTCTCTGAGGCCTCATTTCTAACACCTAGGTCTTCAGATGCCATACCTGGTGTTCTTTTCCATTGCAAAAGTCCTTCATAGCTTTGCTTTGAACTATCTCCAGCCATTATTGTATATAACTCTCTGCACACCCTACAATCTGGCTCATCTAAGATTTTTGCTGTTCCTTATGTAGTGAGAGGAGATGGAGCTTTATGTGTAGAGAGAGGGCTGGAAGGGAGGCAGAATAGACATCTCTAGCCTCTTCTCCCTCCCACCCTTCTCCAAGGGACACTTTCATTTCTGCCAGAGGGGAAGCAGGAAGTTAGGACCAAGGCTACTGCTCTCCTGTGGTAGTGTTGGGGTTGGGGGAGGGGTATTGGACTAGAATGACCTATCTGCTCCCTTAAACACCGCTTGTCTAGGGGAAGTGATAGAGCTCAATCCAACTTTTGATTGCTTTCTCA